GGGGGGGGGTAATAGGGTAATATTACTGGGTAATAGTAAACCACTTTTTTCTTTAGGACTACACCACTGGTTAGGACAAAATATGAATGGAACATTATTCTAACTTTATTAATATATGATATACTTTCCTATAATTTTTCAAACAATTAATTTTGGGTGAAAATGGTAGAAAAACGTTATGACAACGCTTTATGATTATGTTATAATCACAACAAGAAAACTGGACATTTTAACATTCTTAGAATATTAAATATAAACATTAAAATAATAGTATATTTTGGGTGAAAATAAAGTTAGCAGAACATTTTAATAAACTTTTTTGTAACCTTCAAATATTACATATTATTTGTTAAAATCACAACAAGAAAACTGGACTTTATAAAACGGAGAGTTCCGGTGCTTGGTTCTGATTGGCTGAGCTGAGTTCAAAGCTGTTGTAAATGACTCTACAAAGTAACATACACCTTTGTTTACGTTTGTCTGTTGCTCGGCAACCACTTTGTTGCAACCACAACTGTTTCTGAGGAGCTACATTGTTTGGTGGAAGAATACTGTTTTTATTAATATCATTACACTTTATTTGCTCTGTTTTATTTTGTGAAACCTTACTACGTATATGGAATAACCGTTTTATAAAAGCAATAATCCCCAAGAAGCCGTGGTTTACAGTGAATTTATAAGGGCTTCTTGCTTTAATTGAACATTTTAAGAACATTTCAAAACAATGTTCCCCTAATGTTTATTTAACCTAAGTTTGTCGCCTGGGTTAGTTCTCTTAGTTGAGTATTACAGGTCATTTGTGAAGATCTACCTGAGGTTCCCACATCGGCCAGCACGGCTTTCTTGCGCTCATTGATGCTGCTGATCTGAGGGAAATAGGCGTCTAAAGCCAGGAAGGCCATGCAGCAGAGGAAGGCCAGTGAGCCCATGCTGACCGCGTAGTTACATGCGTTCTGGTTCCGGTTAAAGATGCAGAACTGCTCGACCTCATCAGGCCTGTTGATGTAGCCCTCGTTAGCGATACAGCCGAAGATCACCAACGAGAAGAGCTGAGGAGAACAGAACACACAGATCACACGCTCTACAAATGAGCAGAACAGGAGTCATCAGTTACCATTGTTTCTACTTCTGACATTTACAGGACCTAAAGTCAAAACTTCATAATAACATTTGATTTCTTGAGAAACGAGCAAATGGAAACTTTAGAGGAGACCAGCTCTTGGCACATGATCAAAATGTGTTGTGGTTTTAATATAAAAGGAAATTAGAAACAAGTTTAAAGCAAGTGAAACGAGGAAACTGTAACAGTTTGTCCTCTTCAGCTGAAAGAGTCAAAGACAGAAACACAGAGGTGTTAAAGACTAAGCAGAAACACACTGAACTTCCTTTTTCTCTCATCAACAAACCAAGCGTGCTGAGCATCATAGTGTGAATCTCACTGCGGTCAGGTGCCGTGAACTAGCGACGAATTACTGGAGTAACAAGCAAGCAGCACATTTGTGTGATGATGCTCTTATATAACAATTCAATACAATTTAATATTGAATAACTTACATTTTAGACACAATATTACCTAGTCTGTGTTTTTGCTCGGCCACAGCAGAACCACTACAACACAAGTTGTGTTTAGTCTCTGAATGAATCAGTGTTTTTGAATGAATCTGTTGAATGAATGAATCAGTGACTCAAACATAAAGACAGTCAATTATTTAATTTCTGAATGAATCAGCGTTGATGAATTAATTGGATGATTTAATGATTCAGTGACAATCATAAAGACAGTCAATTATTTCATTTCTGAATGAATCAGCGATGATGAATGAATCTGTTGAATGAATGATTCAATGACTCTTTCATAAAGACAGTCAATTATTTCATTTCTGAATGAATCAGTGTTTTTGAATGAATCTTGAATGAATGATTCAGTGACTCAATCATAAAGACAGTCAATTATTTCATTTCTGAATGAATCAGCGTTGATGAATGAATTGGATGATTGAATGATTCAATGACTCTTTCATAAAGACAGTCAATTATTTAATTTCTGAATGAATCAGCGTTGATGAATGAATTGGATGATTGAATGATTCAATGACTCTTTCATAAAGACAGTCAATTATTTAATTTCTGAATGAATCAGCGTTGATGAATGAATTGGATGATTGAATGATTCAATGACTCTTTCATAAAGACAGTCAATTATTTAATTTCTGAATGAATCAGCGTTGATGAACAGTCAATTATTTCATTTATGAATGAATCAGCGTTGAAGAATTAATTGGTTGATTGAATGATTCAATGACTCAATCATAAAGACAGTCAATTGTTTAGTCTCTAAATGTGAGTTGTTGGACAAATAAATGAAATAAATAATTCAATACTCACTATTTATAGTCACTTGTTGCCCTCTACTGGTGACTGTAAAATCTCCACTAATGTACTAGACTGACAGTCTGTCTGGAACAAACACACACAAGCGGAGCGACACAAACACTCAGAGCTGCTGGACCATTATATCAACACTCCCGATTGACCAATCAGATTCGAGGACCGGAACTAATTGCTGAACAAATATTATCTTTCTATGAGGTGTCCTGACAAAAGTATAATTCATGCACACTCTCTCTTTCTGATAAATTCACACACACACACACACACACACACACACACACACACACACACACACACACACACACACACACACACACACACCAAATTACACCGTCTTTCAAGACGTGACATTGTACTGTAGTGTCCTGGGGAGGTACAGTGGCCTTGCTCTGCATTATAGTCTCCAATCCACAGAACACACACACACACACGCACGCACGCACACACACACACACACACACACACACACACATCAGGAGCCGTTCACACAAGACTCATTCTTACACACACGTGCCAGGCTCACTTCTATTGTGTCTTTCTTCAGCATCTCGTGTCAGAACCGTTACACTTAAAAACACAAGACCCGTCCCGTGTGAACGACCCTCAGGTCCTGCTCTGATGAGATGAGACGGACAGATGAGCAGAAGAACAGAGATATTTATAGACACTGGGACTCTCTGTTCTGGCAGGAATGGAAAAGAACAAGCTAATTACATCACAAACACAAGCATAAATCATGCACAAAACAACCACACTCTGAACGTGTTTGCACTTAAAAATATACGGATCATTCTAATCAAGAACAATCTGAGCTCTGTCCCTTTAATGAAATGGTATTCATTATGTATCTAATATGATTCAATAGTCATAGCATTTTAATCTCATAACTAGTGTTACAATTACCTCACGGTTATGATGAAATCAGCTTTATTCACACAGGGCCAATACAGAAAGCAGCTTCACAGTAATAAACAGAAAAATAACAGAATCAATCATGCAAACTTCATCAAATCTGAGACAAATTCAAATTATTCCAAAAGACAACAATCAGCTCAAAAAAACAAAAACATAAATATGAAAAGACAGTACCATCTTTCTTAAAATCTGTCATTCATGGTCACTTTAGAATATTCTTAAATATCACTTTTTATTCTGCTGAGCACATGCAGAATTCATGCCATTGAAGAACGACAATCTTTATGACTGAAGAACTCAAATCTGCCCACATCTGAACCTGAACGGACAGGATTTGGACACTGGATACAGGTTTGCGTGTGTGCGCACACTCTCTCTCTCTCTCACACACACACACATTGTAAAATAAATTACATTTAAATGTTGCCATTAAAAATTATTTAGTACTTTATTATTTAAATAAGCCTATTTATTTCTCAATTGTATTTTTTTTTTAATGTTTTTTAAATGCATACATTGATAATTGGACTGCCACTTAAAAATAAATGGAAGAAATCAGTTTATTTTTAAGTGTCCCTCCTGGTCTTCATAACACACAGCCTCCAAAAACAGCACTTACTGTAAATGAAAATTATGTCATCCCCTCACGCAGAAGATCACAGGCTTAATTGTTACTAATAATCATGTTTGTCATGTTGGCTACATGGATTGACATGACAGTGAAAACACAAGCCTCACTGGCCCAATAAAATCCTGCCTATTTCCATCACACACACACACACACACACACACACACACTATCTATCATGCAGTTTCCATTGACGCATGTTGTTGTTATACTGAGCTAATGATATTTCCTAACCTCTGAAGCCCCACACAAACTCTTTCTTACCCCTGACTAATAGCACTTGATTGCAACAGCATGCATTTCAATCAAAAGCACCGTTTCGTGCGTGCATTGCTCTCGCAGCATCAGGTGCTGTTTAGCGCCAGTCTGCAGTTGCTCCTGATGATAACGGTACGTACCCAGGACACAATCCGGAGGCCGGTGTGCGGCTGCTGGATGACCGCCAGCGGCTCGAAGGCTCCACCGGCTCTGCTCGCGCCGTACGCGCCCCGCTGCATCATGA